CCTTTTCCAGAGGATGGTCTTGTGTTGGATTGGGAGTGGACAGGCAGGCTGATTGGTCCTGTAAGGAGTCACCGGATAGGAGACAGTTCCAGAACAGCGAGGAGATGAAGGAAATTGACCTATTCCTGGTGAGCATCCGATCCGGTTCTGTGGAGGAACGAGAGCAAGGAGAGGTTAGAGGAGACTCTGGGAGCTTAGTTCACTAACAGAGCATGACCATTGGAACCTTTATGTCTGAGCAACAAACAGAAAGCAGCACTGTGTTTATTTAAAGCCTTAGTGTGGGAGCTTCTCATCAAACTATTTGGTTCATCTGCAACATTTAGAGAAGAAAGCTGTATATAATTTCACATGTGTTGAAACAAAGATCAAACTTTCTGGTGCACACAAGTAATGCATTAGGGAAGATTTCATTCCCCTTTTCACTGAGGTGTGCCTGATATTTTTTTTGTTTCTATAATCAATGTAAATGAAATATTGTTTGTAGTTGGATAAAGTTCAGCAATTCAAACTTTTAAAACATTTCTCTTCATGGTGTAACATAAATAGCAGGTTATGATAGGAGTGAACTATGAAGAAGAATGGAGCACACAGCCAGCTGTCCAATAGAAAATAACAAGATCTGTTTTTATTTTTATGGGTTAAAAAAACAAGATGAGATAATAAACAAGTGCAAGTTTTTTTATTCTAAGAACAGATAAAAAATATATATTAGAATACATCTGACTTTAGCCTAAATGTTTTTTTATCACCTGTTTTTGATGTAATCAACCAAATGGCCATATGTTTTATTTGGTGTTTACAAACTGTATATATTTCATCAACTTTATTTATAAAGTACCTACTTTTTTTACCTGAATTTTAAACCTTTTCTAGAATGAATACCACATGTTTCTGTCACACACATTTAATCTTAGGTTTAAAACCAACCTGACAAGTTGACAGGTTGTGAGATTTTTATCATTTTTATTTGTTTAATATAAGCAACATGAGGATATGTTTTTTTTTTTTTTTTTTTTTTTTTTTTTTTTTTTTTTTTTTTACAAAACATGGAGAACTACTGAATTCATTTCTAGATTACACATAAGTAGATTAATTAATTCCACAGGGAAAAATGAATTATGTTGGAGTTAAGAATCAACTGAGCCTATATGACAACACTGATTATTTATTTAAAACCTTATTTCAAAGGTAAATTATTCAGTCAAATATTGGAATTGGAATCCTCTGTGTATTTAAAGCATAAACAAAGTTAACTTTCTTCTCTCACTCTGAAACAGAAGAAGTAAAAAGTAGCAAATACAGAGAAACTGATTTTAGTTTTACTCTGAGAGGGACTGACTGGATCTCCTTGTTCTTTTCGATCTGCTCTTTCAGTTTTCAGTTTTCCATGCATTTGTTGCTGGCTGGATTATTGTAATTCTTTACTATCAGGAAGTCCACAAACTGTAGTTAAAAGTTGAAAATGCAAAAGAGATCATATCTCTCCTATCCTGGCTTCTCTTTATTGGCTTCTTGTTACAGCAAGAATAGAATTTAAAATCCTCCCTCTCCGATATAAAGCCTAAAATTGCCAAGCTTGGGGGTGCTTTGGTGGCGCAGTGGTTAGTGCACATGACCCATGTATGGAGGCCTTGGTCCTCAACGTGGGTGACCCAGTTCAAATCCAGCCTGTGGTCCTTTCCAACCAGTCACTGGTGCCACAAACCCCCCATGGTTTACTAGTGGTTCCTAGAATTTCTAAAAGTAGAATGGGAGGCAGATCTTTTAGTTATCAGGCTCCTCTCCTGTGGAACCAACTACCAGTTTTAGCATGTGAGGCAGACAACAGTTTAAATTCTCAGTCATCCGGGTCTTGGCGACCAATCAGATGGAGGAAATATATAAAGCTGCTCTGGAGAAAATGGAGAGAGATTAGCAGGAACAATGAAATCAGTGGGAGCAGGAAAGATGCTGTCTGCTGATCAATAACCAAGAGTTGGGGAGAGGAGAAATATGGCACAGAGTAGTCACCTCAAGCTTCCATCAAAAGGGCTGAACAGCTGAAAGAAAACCTGATTAAACAAAGACAAGGAGCAAAAGAGGCTGAGGTGATCTTGTCCAAGCAAGACCAGGAAACTTGGGAAATAAAGGCTTCTTTGTTCAAACTGCAGCAAGACGTGGAGAACCAAAGACTGCTCTGGAGCCAAAGGAAAGCCAGTCTGCTGACAGAGCAGCAGAAACTTGTCAGAAACAAGCCCACACAGAATCTGGAAGACATGAAGGAGGAGAGGAAAACATCAACAGAGAGTCTGATGGAAAAACTGGAGGATCTGCAGCATCAGACGGAGAAAGAGAAACAGAGAAAAGCCAGAAAGAAAAGCCTCAGGAAAAAGATGATCCAGCTGTTTAAACGCTGTAAAAAGGCTCCACCTCAGTCAGAAAACTGAGCTCTACTAAACCTCATGAAAGCCTCCCCCAACAAAACCATCAGACTGACGCCTTTGGGACAGAAATGATTCATAGCAGAGTTCAGTTTGATGCATTCACATCTATTAGATTTTATTTAAAAACTAATATTTATTTTTCTGCCTTAAAATGTAAAATGATCCGTATAATGGAATCGTCTGTAAAAGGAATAGAATGTAATGTGTCAGAGAGATTCCTGTTTTTGTTCCATTGTTCTGGAAACTTCTTCTTTAAGAAGTTTTTTAACAAATGTATCTTTTAATTCTGACTTTTTGACCAAAACTACACTCTGACCATGTGGCAACTGAATGTTTCTCATGTAAATCCTCGTCTTCTCCAGGAAAGAGGTCCAAACCATCAGCCTTCAGAACCCAGAGGTCCAATCAGAGCTCTACAGCTGGTTCTGAGGCTGATCTCACTGCTCCACAGCTTCTAGTTAGGTTGGATCTTCTGCTCTGGATTCTCTCCACCAGCAGATCGTCAGACCAGAACATGTTCACCTTCAGAACCAGAAAGAACTGATTCTAAAAAGATTCTGCTTCACAATCAGAACCAGAACTTGGTTCTTAATTCATCTATACGTCTTTGGACTCAGATGTTAGAAATGATCCAAATTTAAACATCAGAAATTTTGCTTTTAACAAATAGTGTCTTTAAAGAACAAAAGTATTTAGATTGCATCCAGTATATAGAGTTTGAAGGCAGGTGGAGGAGGTTCTGGTCTCGGCCTACGAAGGTCCAACACTGTCAGCAGTTCTGGTTCTGATTCACTTGGATTTTTTCTGTTAAGTCATGAAATACATAAAATATCTGCAAATAGGTCAATTTATGATCTATTAAAACATTTATCTTCACTTGCTGGGGAAACAACAAAAATATATTTTGAAAAAATTTAAAAACAAGGAAATACATTTTTATATGAAATTATAATATTTGGTTTTTAGTTTTTATAACACTTAAAACATGTTAAATTACTAATAATATGCAGAACTTATCCTAATATTTTTTCCTTCTTTTATTCTATTTGCATCAACAGCAACATTCCTGATTCCAGGAAATAATCATCATAATGACACCATGCAGCTTGTTTTTCATGTTTTTATTAAATTTTTATTTTTGGTTTCCAAAAATATCTGAGTGAGGTGTGGCACAGCAGCATAAATACACATGAAGAACCAGAACCAACAGGTTCTATTCAGAAAGCTGCACCGACCCAAACAAATGTCACATGATCCAAAGAGCTGCAACAGTGACAATGTTTAAAGTTCCTGTAGAACCGCTGCAGAGCAACAACAGAACTCCACTTGAACAGATTTACACTGAGTTCATCAAACGCCTCAGAACCCGATAGACAGGAAGAAGCATCCAGAACCACTGGGTCAGGGTTCCAGCCCAACACTCTGCTGAGTCTGAACCCAGCAGATTGGAGCGCCTACCTCCTGTTCCTAGCTCCTGTTCCTTCATCTTGAATGGTCAGGACACTACTGAGGAAAGAAAAGGAAGGAAAAGGAAACCAAAGTTAGCCCAAGGGGTTCTGATCAGGTCGAACTGAAACAAAGAGAGGGTTAGCTCATGATGTAGCAGTTAGCTTCGGCAAACTGGACTTGTTCGGTCCATGTAGTGAGCATTAACATTCGGTAAAACCTTTAAAACCATCAGCAGTTGAATCAGAAACCTTATTTCAAATAAAAACACCAACACGACTATCTATTCTATCGAATTCACCCAAGCAGAGCACTTATTAAGCATCAGATGGAAAGGAGGGGGGAGTATACGGTTACTGTTTTGGTTCAGTGGAGTGAAGGCCTTCAGCTCGGTCCAGTTTTCTGAAGACCCATCTTTGATCCAGTCTATTCGTCCAACAGCAGCTCAAAGAGATTTGGCAAGGGGGTTAATTTTATAACTCATGGAAACACGGGAAATCTCCCGTTTTATTTACAGTGGTTAGCTCATAGCCACAGCCTGTAGCAGCTCCTCTGTGCTACTCCATCTCAGGCAGTCACGGTCTGGCGGCTTCTAATGACTCCTTCTGCGAACAGCGATTGGGGCCACGTTTTTAAGAGGTTAGCAGAGCTGCATTAGCTAACCTTTGTCTTTGCTGCGGCAAGATTCAGGATACACTGTGTTCAACTCTGTTTGAATCACAGAAAGAATACAAACACTGCGTTCAGCTCCTTCTGAATTGCAGTAAAAAGGGAGTTTGACTCTGTCAAGCAAGCACAGACTTTTCCAGAGGGACTTGGTTGCTACTTAGTGTAGCCTTCAGCTGGAAGCGCTTTTGTCTAGCCTATTAATGGCACAGAGCCACCGGCAAAATGGAAGCTAGCTTTTTTTTAAACCTACGGCGGAGGGGTGTGTCTTCAGAGGGGCTTAGTTCTGGTTACATCAGCGACAATGGATTACAACAATTTAAAATCACGTTTCCAATAAAATGCAGAGACTTTAAGGAGACAAAGAGAGATTAAAAACACTTCTGAACAAAGAGATAATTTACAGAATCCTGATTTATTTAGTCAAATATTGGTATTTGATACAGAATTAAAATACTTCATTACAAAAACATTTCATCGCTAACTCATACAAAAAACTGGTCATAAAATAGATTAAAAAGAATTGAAGGTCCAACTATGAGTTTTGTTATAATGAATTTTACATTTATTGTTATTTTTTATTCAAAATAAAATTCAGAAAACTGGCAGAAAATGCTGTCATATTCTCCAATATTTCTATCATCTACAGTTCAGCCACAGGTCGTCTGGAATAATTCTTCTTTTAGGAACAGTCTCAATCCTATTGGAAACTCATCTGGCTTATTAAAACATAGCAGATAACTCTGAGGAACTGACGAACTAGCAGGAGAGTTCAAACTGCAGCTTCACTCACGTCATCATTTTTTATTACTAATCAGTTGCAGAAACCCTGAACTTCACAGCCCACAAATCCTGATGCGTCAGCCTGTTTATCTGGGTCTAATGAACAAAACTGTTCAGATCAGAGGAATAAAAACTACATAAGAGACACAAACAAGAAACCGGACAAAAAAGACTGGAGATAGAAAATTTTAAACTTCTTCTGATGGTGAGATTAAAACCCAGGATTAAACATTTACTGGATCTACCGGAAACAGAATCAAACCTTTGGATGGAACAATTCCAGCTTCCATCTTTAAAGGACTGGAAGAGGAAAAAGTTTACCAGGAATCTTTTCCAGAAGTTTTAGAAAGAAACCGACTGAAAATGAAAATGTTTCTGAGAGAAAGAGAGAGACATGTAGAGACCGAACTGTTCAACGGTGGAGCCTCTTTAGAGTTAACACAAAAACACTGAGGAATCAGAACCGACCCAGAATCCCGGGTAAAGTGGTTCAGTGAATGTGGTGTTGAAGGTGTAGAGGTGGATCAGTGAGTCAGAGGAGACTCTGTAGAAGGACAGAATGCCAGCAGGATGGTCCACATACACTGCTACTCTGTTAGAGACAGAGGAGGAGAAGGCGGAGGAGATGTCTGTTCTCTTCTTATTGTGACAGACAGAGTAACCATCGTAGCATTCCAGACTCCAGGAATGATCATTATAACCAAACAAACAGTCATTACTGCCTCCTTTCCTACTTATTCTTCTGTAACTCACTGATGTAAAAACTGTTCCTTTCCACTCGACCTCCCAGTAACAGCGACCAGTCAGACCATCACTACACAGCAGCTGATACCAGCCATCAAATCTGTCTGGATGATCGGGATATGACTGAAGCTCCTCCACACGTGTCACCTTCCTGTTGTCTTCAGACAGTTTCAGTTTTCTGTTCACTGTGTTTGTGTCGATCGTGAGCTGACAGGAATCTGATGGAGAGAACAAACACAACACAGCTGCAGTTATTGATCATTTATTGATGCTTTGATGATGACTCCTGAATGAGTGATGGGCAGTTTGAAGATGGTTTAATGTGAGCTGCTTTCTTTTTATGAATCCAATGAAAATTACACTTACACTTCCCCAGTCCTGGTTTCAACCATCGGACTCCATCAGGTTCC